GTTAAGGAATGGATAAGAGTCCTTTGCAATTTTAAAGGAGCTTTGTTTGTTCTTAATGTGAACCAGCTTCATAATGAGCTGAGCTGTGTGTGTATAAATAGTCCATTTAGTTAATTGTTTCCTACAATGAGATAGATTGGTAGCATCTATTTAATGTCTGATTCTGGTCTCAATAGAGCCAATTGTTTTCTACTATGGGATTAAGTAGGAATTGAAGTAATCCTAGTCTATAAATGTCATTGCGAATTCTATATTGAGAAAAAAAGCAAAACAGAAAAGAAAAATAAATTCAGAATCTTTCTCATAGGTGAATTGTGCTGATAATTTTACTGCCCTTAAATCCCCTGAACTGTATCTTGTATTTTCTGCTCCATTAAATTTTTTTTTCCCAGAAAGTTGCTCAAAAAGTTTTCCCCCCTAATTTGTGCAGTAATTTCCTTTGGCTTAAATGCCATAGACTCAAAATTCAGAATGTTGAAAATGGATGTTACTAAAGAAATTTTTATTTGGAATTCCCCAAATGAGTAGGTACAAAGGCTTTAATTCCACATGCCACAGGGCTGTTATTACCAACATTGAGATTCCCTGATGAAATTCACAACCTGATAAAGTAGATGTGGAAAAGTGCCTTTTGAGATTAGATCAAGACTTTTAAAAGGATATTCCAAATTTATTTTGGTTTAGATACAATAACTATACCTTTCATTTCCCAAATTCAGTTTCCTAATATCCTGTAAAGGTCTATAGTAGGGGAACTTTATTGCGTCCTTCATCACAGTCTTGAAACAGGCTTTGTCCTTTGGTCAGCTTCTCTGTATAGAACCAGAACTCTTCTTCCTTTTCTCTAAGAGAAGAATTTAAAGTTGTAACATATCTTAGTATAATATTTGCTACTGGTTATTTTCTTTCTTTTTTTTTTTTTTTCTGCAATACTTAGATGAAAAAAGTAGAAGGATGCTCATTTGTCTGAGTGTGTCAGTCTGTTGCTGCTGTTTTGCTTAGCTCCTGAGTATGTTTAATCTTCCATTGACAGAGGCTTGCTTTTGCACATGATCAGATTATGCTGGTGGGAGAACACAAGACCCAGTATGATACCTTAATGTATTTTGTCAATAATATTAAGCTACAGTATTGGTTGTAATTTAGTATTTGATTTGATTGACATTTATTTAGGGCAGAAGTATTATGCTTATTTGTTTTTTTCTTTTTTCAAATTAAATAGGCCACACAATTATCCTGTGGAATCTAGAAATAGTAAAACTTCTTTCGCCATCATCTGTAGCTATTAAATTTTGCATCTCATTCTATACTATTAGGGGAATACTCTTAACAGCACCATATATATACACTTGGACATCAAGTCAGGGAGAAATTCACAGAGATTTTTGCTGTATAGTGCAAGGATATTTCAAATATTACTGGAGGTTCACACACATTTTCATAATCATAGTCAAAATAATATAATTTACAGTAGCATTTTGGTCTTGTTTTGCACCTCTCTGTCTGCCTTAAATCTTTACCTGCCTTTATTTCCAAGTAGTTAAAAAAGGCACCAGTTCAAAGATTTCTGATTTTTTTCCTTCTTTCTAGCTTGTTCTAGGCTTTTTAGAATGTCTATCACATAGGGAAGTCTTTCTTTTTTTACTGGGTATCATTCGACCTTGAGTGAGAGTGTCACATGTCATTACAGAATCGTAGATAGAGTTCATTAGGTATAAAATAAATGTCAGAGCTCTAGACATTTTGTAGCAAATTAATGTTTTAACATTGACAATGGTTGTTGATCCAGCAACATAAGAGAAAATGAGGTGCTCTAGACAAGAAAGGTCCATTAATTTTGCACTAAAGGCTCTACTAGTTTGTATATTATGGATAAACCAAAATACCTGGAGATTTTTTTTTAATTCTCATACACATCAATTGTGTCCCTTAAGGAATCTGAAATACATTTAAGTTGATAATAAATACTGAAATAGAAATTCATTATTCATAGGAGTAAGTATTTAAGCATTCATAGAATGAAACATTATGAACAATTTAACACAATCATCACTAAAAAGGTATATTCTAAGACTGGGAGGAGACTGTATCTACTATCAAACTATGGAAATTATGCATTACGAGCCAGATTTTTTTCTCTAATACTCTCTTCCATTTAAAATTCTCTGAGCTAATAAAGAAGTGGTTTTATGAGGGAGCTATATGCTATGATCATATGTGATATGCTATATTTTAGCCCTTTTGAATGCACAGGAAAAAAATGCATTAAACATTTACTGATAGTGCAGAATGATTTATGCATAACCTTTGTTTAGTTTGTTTTCTCTAAAAAGCTTTATTGTCTTTTTTTCTCAAAAATATCCCATCTTCTAAATAAAATGTCAAAACTTTCATTTTGAGTGACTGCTACTGCTTCTTCATTTGACTGTTACTCTTTATCCATCATACTGTTTCTGAAACATCTTGCAGTCTCTTCTCACTCAATGACCATTTTCTGGGTTTTAGATATATTGCTCTATCTTAATTAAGTGTTGATTTTTGTTTGTATCAGCTTTGTTTTTTGAACTGGGAATAATTGCCCAAGCTTAATTTATTTGGTATGTCTATAGTCATAATATTTAATGATCCATTATTATGCCAGATCTCAGCTGCACAGGAGTGATCCATATTTTTGAAGCAATTGGGTATCTACAGATGTCAACAAAGAGGCATTTGCTAGCCTGCAAGGAAAGACAATAAAATCTATGCAATCAATGTATGCATTTGCCAGGCTTTGCATTGGAGTGTGCGTGACAAGTCATGTTCAACCTGTTTGCTGTAGTTGTTTCTAGGGAAACAAAATAATAAAAAGCATATTTAAACAACACAGTGGGAAGGGCAAAGGGATTCTCAACAAACACCATTTCTCAAAAGAGACAAAACTGTGTTTATTCAACATAAACAAATACACTGAGAAGTGTTTTGCCAGAGAAACTGTTTCAAGCTATTTGCTTAAAGTGTGAAAGAGCTTCATTAGAGTGAATATGCTTCGACTTGGACAACGCCTCTTTTGAATTTCAGTGATAGCTAAACTCTTGTCAAAAATACTTTCAGTAAATGTGCATGTTTATCAAAATGCAGATGATAAAATTGCTGGTAAATATAACTTTGTTTAAGATAAACTAATTATGTTTACATATATGTGCTGAAATGATGCATTCTTTCTATAAGCAGAGCCTATCTCATCTGATGCTTCAGAAGGATCCTTGGCATGCTTTACAGCTGCATGCTGCATTTCTTGAATTCCAGAGTTTGAATTCTGTCAGTCTAAAACCATTGAGTCCAGCATGTTCATAGGAAAGTCACCCAGGAAAATTAAATTTACATAAACAAATTATTCTATCAGCCTCTGCCAACACCTACATTCCCCAATCTTATAAATGGTCCAAACTTTCAGTTCTGAAGTCAGACATTTCCATTTGCTGATTCCCTGAAATTATATCTATTGACAAATCACATGCCAGCCTCTGTCTGTTTAAGTAAGACCATAAAAATGCTAAAACTATAAATTTTCAAAATGTTAGTTTTGTGGAAACCTGTAGGATCCTTAGTGATGAGCTATACCCCATTGTCCATGGTTATTGCAAGGACAGGTACATATGCTGAAAATAGATGAGGAAAATAAGAAGTCTTTAATATTCCATCAGCAGAAGAGAGAACACTGCATGTTATATTCACAATTATGCTTCAGAATGGAATATTTCAGCATTAAAGGCAATGACCCATATACATCTATGTATACATATAAACAGATTTAAAAACAAATTCATGGGGATATGCAGAATGAAACAAACATTCCAGTTTTGCCATAATTGTATTATTGTTAGGATTTTAATAGTAGAGCAGGAAAAATTATTGGTTTGCTAAGGAATTTGAACAAATAATAGATAAGAATATTCTAACTATTATACTGCAAGTCAGCAATATGAAGTATGAAATACAGTTTGACATACAACCCAATACCAAATCTGCAAAATATCATTTTATTGGTCTTGTTATAATGCAGGCATACTCCAAAAATCACTAAGTCTGAAACATAACCCATCGTCTAGAAGATATTTGTTGACTTTATAATTTTACAGGTTTTGATGCACTGTGAAATCTGAGTTCCTTACACAGAGGAAGAACTGCCATGTAAACTGAGACAGATTCTGGCAGAACATCACTTCCTTTATTGTTAAAGGGGGTTGTTTTACATAATAATAATGCTGGAAAATGTTCAAATGTGTGTAAGTTAAATACTTACCCTATCCTTCAACTTTAAATGAAACAGTTCTGAAGCAGTACAGTGATAATATCCTTATTGATACCCATTTAATGTGCTGTGTATTGGATTAGCTGGATTTAGCACCTATTTTATATATATATATATATATATATATATATATATATATATATATATGGCTGTAATATTAACCATTCTATTCAATGTCACTTGGAATGACTGTTAAACTTCACTAGAGTAAAATTGTCATCAAAGCATAGTTCCTACTGGACTGATGTAGTAATGTTACACATATATCTATCAACCTTTCACTGTTAGCAGCCACTGCAAAAAAATGACCTGCAAAATTAATTAGTCTTCAAAGTCTGTAGTCCCATTTTGGGCATTCACATAAGCATATGGTTCAGCTTACAGTCTCACTTACAGTCAGACCAAAAATTTTAAATTGAGCCCCTTATAAGAATGAAGTTGATAGAGTCACATCATCTCATACAACATGCTGTACGTTCTGCCTAGGGGTGTCTGCTCCCAACACCTGGTTCACGTGTGTGGCTTATCCCCACCTCAGCAAAAACCAGTTCTGAAACATTTATAATGTGAGACAAATGCAAACACAATGTGCTTATCCACTCAGCAAAAGGTCTGCTCTAAAAATGCTCTGATAGGCTATTCAGTGTTTTCAAGACAGCAGCTGAACACATATAAATGTAGTAAGAAGTTTATGTTTGGTTTCCAGGATCAGTGGTTTTGGCGAGTCAGGAACAACAGGGTGATGGATGGATACCCCATGCAGATTACCTACTTCTGGAGGGGACTGCCTCCCAGCATTGATGCAGTTTATGAAAACAGTGAGGGGAACTTTGTCTTCTTTAAAGGTAAGAAAGAACAAAAGTAAGATTTTGTGTAACACTTTTGAGTGTGATGATTTCTTGAAACACATCTTGTTTATTTTTACTAATGATTTGTAAATCTTATTGCAAATTGGTAGCTAAATGATGAGTATATAAGTTAACATTTTCTTGTTTGGCAATTACATTTTAATTTATGATTACATAATTACATAATTAATTACATTAATTTATGATATCAAAATATTGGGTCCATTTTTCTTACATATTCAATCAAAATTTGAAAGTATAAATATAAGACATAGAAATGAAGTGATCTGTTATGAAATAATTTTTAAAATGTGTTTTAGGAAGACACAATGAACAGATTTCCATTATTAATTTTTGTGTAGTTCTCTTTGCTCTTCCTTTTAACATATGAATTTCTTATATATTAAAATGAATAATTTTAATCATTCTGCTATATATACCTCACTGTACTGCATTTTATTTGTTTCATCTAAGACCTGTGATGTTAGGAGTTTCATGTGGGGAAAAATAATCTTTTTCACAGATGTGTATTTAGTGTTTTTAAAGGAGTATAAACTTCAGAAAATAGGCGATTTAGATCAAATTGTTGTGAACAATTCTTTTCAAATTTCACTCCAGACATCAGCTCTTCTTCAAAATTAAAGTTCTTGAACATGTACCTTATTTAGATTTAATGATAAAGTTATCTTATATGTTTAACAATGCATACTTAGTGACAAAATCTTCAAATTACATAAAGTAAGTTTTAGAAAATAATCATGTGACAGAATAGAAAACTGAATAGATAAGAAATATGTGAAAAATTATTCAGCTTTTTAGTGTTGTGAGTGATTAATTTTTTTAACTCATTACAAAAAAAGGTAGATTTTTAAAGTTGTTATATTAAAAAAAATTAATTCATTTTTAGAAGTGGAGTCATTAACTGGGAGTAAGAATATTGCATTCACTACAGAAACAATCTTCGGAATGTTAAATAAAATATATTTAATGACATGCAGAACCACTTCATAACTGTAAAATGAAGTTTATGTTTTACTAAAAGTGAAATTGTATTTTTGTGTGAATAATAAGGAAAATGATATTACATGTAGTGCAGTTTCTCTTTCGATACAGCAAATGCTTTACTTCTGTTGCCATAAAATAAACTTCAAGTCATTCAACTCTGGAAAGTTTATATGGTTGGGAATCATGATCAAGGTACCTCTAAATTTCCATCCCACTGCTTGATTTTTAGGTCTGTAGGACGTGGAAGGATAAAAATATTATTCTGTAGCTATTCCTTTGCACCACTTCTACACAGAGGAAAGTAGCTATCCTGGCATTCCAGACTTCTGCCTTGATAATGCTGGGATTCGTTATCTGAGCTCCAGACAGAAACTATCAAGCTTATTGTTATAGCTGCTTCTTTTCCTTCTCAATGACCTTGAAATATGTTTCATCATTACTTAACTCTTCACCCACTGCTGACTGGCTCCTGAGAGATCTTAGAGGAATAAGCTGATCCTGTAGTTTATGGGCTAGGAGGGAAGGAGGAGGGAACTTCTCAAACAACAGAAGGAGGAGGAAACTTCTCTATTTTTTCTCTGGGAAATTAAATCAAGATTAATTAAAGCAAACAGGAACAGCAGGATTGTGTTCTTAGAAGTCAGAATTGTGTTTTCCTTTCACATCATCCCCACCTTACGCTATCTGATTTCAGACCAGTTAGTTTTGTGCCTTCTAGCTGATATCATATGATATTTGGATATTCTGCTGTAGGTTTTTTTTTTTTTTTCCATATGACTTATTCAAAGTTCCTTCTGTTATTTTTCCAATGACATTTGTATTATTCCCTTATTTGCCAAAGACAAAAGTCTTTGTATTTCCTTGTGCAATTTAAAAAAATATTTTTGCTTCTCTGCCATGACTTCATGACTCTTAATATCTAACTGTTGTTGTTTTCTGTCAGTGTAATTCATGTTTTTCCACTGCTACAGAATCAAAAAATTCAGCTGTCTTCTGTGTGGGTATCCTTGAAAATTCCTGTTCCAAGGATCTCAACTGCCTTGTGGAACATGATTACAGAAACATATATAAATAGACTGTAGGTAAATTATCATTGTCTCATTTCTTCTATTCCGTCACAAAATTTCCTAGGAAAAGGTTACATGTCTTCCTTCCAAAGGTGCTAGAAATAGACAAGCTGGTTGTTGCTAAGATGATGAGCAAGTAGAATGTCTTATCCAGGTAGTGTGCTTTACCAGTCTAAAATTGGTCCAAACAAGTAAGTTCTAGAAGGACCTTTAAATCTGAAGTCTAGCATATAGATATGGTAACAAAGAACATACCTAAGCCAATGTCTACATCTGTTATTCAGAGAATAAAATAGAAAAGATGGATTAAATTCCAGCAGAAAACTTGTACTGGCTTAATGTCACTCTGCTCTCCTCTGACCCACATTATAGTGTCACCTATTCCTGCCCTCTCTTTAGTGCTGACCCAGAGTATACTCCAAATACACAGGCTAGACACTAGCAAAAAAAATGCTCTCAGATGGAGTGGATGGGCACTGGAATGGGCTGCCCAGGGAGGTGGTGTAGTCACTGTCCCTGGAGGTGTTTAAGACTGGATGAGGCCATGGTTTAGTTGATAAGGTAGTGTTAGGTCATAGGTTGAACTTGATGATCTCCAAAGTCTTTTACAGCTTAGCTGACTCTGTGGCAAGTTCCTCATCCATCCCAGCAGAGCTCCATGCATGCCAGCAGGTCACTGGCACAGACAGCAAAACCCCCATGCCTGCTTCCCTGCCCATCCTTTGTAAAGAGCCAGTAGCCTTCCATTCTAACATCCCATTCATAGAAGCCATCCCACTATGTCTCTGTGATGCCAGTAAGATCACAGCCCTGCAGGTGTGCCCAAATTTCCAAGCACATCCCTAACTCCTGTTGTTATTCTGGATAATACGTGCATTTCCATAGAGACATTTAATTTGCAGCACCCAATGAAACCAGCTTACTGACTGGAGTGGCTGGAATTCCTTTGTGCTGTTTCAGGTGCTCTCCTGCTGACCTGTGATCTCTCTCCAGGCTCTGGATATCTCTTGCTGGCACTGACATCAAACTGGTAGGAGTGGGATGGATTGAGGTTCTCCCTCCACCAGTAACTTTATTTAAAATCTCTCTTTACCAGCTTGGCAAGCCTATGACCAAGATGCTCTTCCTGTTCCCTGCCAGATGGACTCATCAGCCCTCAGTAGACCAGATCATACTCGTAAAGTACAGAGCAATCTGGTGGATAGCTGCTTATAAAAAACAGATGTTCGAATTCTTGTTATTATTCATTACCAGTGTCCATGCTGAATGATAATAAGATGGCATCAAAAAGATACCTTTTTTTTTCTTTTAATGAGAAAACATGAATAGTTAAATTCATTCTGTGTACCTTTGGGAATTTATATAGTGCTAAAAATGAAATTGTCAAGCCATCTGTGCTGTTGAATGTTATGGTAAACCAAATGTAGCAATAGAAAGGCTGCTGTAAAACTCATACTACCAGTGCCTCCATCATAACATTCTACTGCACTTACCCCATGGCCTGACAGTTTTATATTGAAAAATAGATTCACTATAGTGTCAGATCATGGAACAGAGAAATTACAGAAACTTGATGTGGGAAATAGAGAATGGGGAAAAAGGAACCATGAATAGTAATTTTAGGATTCTAGAAAAAAGACTACATACAGGCTTGAAAGACCAAAATTAAGAGGAATGGTGGCTGGAATAAACCAACATTTGGGATTAGATGTTAATTTTTTAACTGATTTAAATTACATGTAATTTTTTAAAAATTTGGAAATTCATCTCACCACTCTAACACAGTCATGATATGCCACACACTTCTTGCACTACACATATACCATAATTGCAAACAATGTGGGAAAAAAACCCAGAAGCACAATTATTCAGAATTTAGATTCTATAAAGGAAGAACTAGTTGCTAAAAACTGGATATTGTTTGGCAGTAGTCAGTAGGAAGTTAAACAGTCTAAAGAATATCTAGAATATTGTAATTTTAAGTGAGGTATAGCAGTAAAAATGCCCTTTATTTCCAGTACTTTTTTTAGAATGTCAAAGATGGATTTTGAGAGACTTCAAATAATTCCATGGTTCATCCTTCTCAGCTGTTTCCCTACAGTGATGATATTTAACAAAGCATTATTTCAAGAAGTGAGACATTTTAGCTTTTTTATAACTTGCTTCACTCTCAGCTTCTGACCTTGCCAATCTGCTTCTTATTGTATTAGACCTTACAAGAGGGAATAAAAGCAGAAAGATTAAACATTCTGAAATTTCAGACTTCATGAAGAATGTGGTGCTTTATTCTCTGTGAAAATAACAAACCTACCAATGAGACCTTAAAAAAAAAACTTTGCAAAATAAGCACAGTGATGGTTTCTGCCAAGGGCACAGGTTTTGACTCCAAAGAAGCATTAGTTATCTATAGGAAGAATAAAAATTTTACTAATTTTGTTATATTTCTTTCCATTATGATCAGAATTAATGAAGTTTTATTGACTGTTAGTGGAAGTGGAATATGAGCTACATGAAAGCATACTGACTGTAGCATTAGTTTGTACTACATTTAAAGTTTTATAAATATGTTAGAAATAAAATTATCTCATTCGCATCACAGTTGGGCATCTTTTGCACTGGTTTTCAGCTTTAACTTCTCCTAACATTGGGTTCTGATCAAATTCTGTTGATCAGATCAATTCTCTGATAAATAGACACCCACTTTCCTCCAGGTGAGAGACAGAAAAAGAAAGATCCAAAACAAGACCTCCTAAAACCTCCTAAAAAAAACCAACCAAACAAAAAACTGAAGTGAAAGCTGTCAGCCAGATGGAACATTTGGATTTCTTGTATACAGTACTTCTCGTTAACAATCAGCACAGTTATAGCAGACTAAACATGTCTTCTAAAGCAAATGTTAAATAAAATTCCTGCTAGTTAGCATCAATCGGCTTTGCTTACATATGTTAGAGATCTCAATGCTTCCCTGTCTCTGCAGAATACAGATAAATTTACCTTTTCTCTCTTTTCTAGGAAAGAATTTGTTTCTTAGTAAGAAATTGTGTGAAGAACTCATTTTCTTATGCCTGTTCCCACATCTACACTTTCCTTTTGCTTCAGTATCTCTGAATATGCAAAAAAATGCATGGCTCAATGGTGTTGTTATTTACAATGGTTTGTGCATAACCATTGTTTATTTTGGTATGACCTGATCTTGTTGATAGTTAACTTTGCCTCCTTGGGTATGGCTGATAACGATCTATTCATAACAATTGCTTTGACTTTATTCCTTGTGAGGCACAGAGAAAAGTATTGGCATTACATGCATCACAGCATATGCCTCTCAATGCTGTGCAACAGCTGTCATTTTGAATGATCTTCTGAAACAGAAATGAGCTGGCCCAGGATCACTCACTGGATGCCATCTGTTGTTCACACCACAAGTACCAACTAGGAAGGTTCAAAACACATGACTTCTCTTATCATTGCATTTGAAACTGCCATTAACATCTGAAGCTTTCTGTATCCAGTCATATGAATTGGCAAAAAATAAATCACATGGGAGGAGGGACAGAGAATGATTGAAGATGCTCACCTCTGTCATTGTCAAACCCTATAAGTGAATTTTTATAAGGCATCTCAGTAAAGGTAAATCTCAGGTTAGCAATGACCTTAATCCCCGGTCAACAGAGAACTCATCTTCCCCTGACTGCTCTTCATAGATCTCTGTGTCTCTTTCATTTTCAGTACTTCAAATGACTCTGTGCATGCTCATTCTTTGAGTCTTCTTTCCTTCAACTGGCAGGGGAGGGAAAATGGATCTGTTGAACAAACTGTAGTGTCTGTGCTTGAAAGTGGGTGACAAGCAGCTGTAGAGAAGCTGATAAAAAATTAACCCTGGAAACCCAGCATGGGAGGGATGGAAACTATACCCCCTCTCCTAATTAAAACTCTGATGAAATGAAAACATGCTTTAAATCACCACAGTACAAACAGGGAGATCAAAAAAACCTTTCCTTTAAACAAATGTTTAATACCACAGAGGGATAGCTAAAATATAAAACCAACTGCAAAACAGCTCTCTGGATCTTCCCCCTTGATGATTCTGGCATACACCTGATCCTAGGTCTTTGGGGTAATATTACATTTCCTTATAAAATATTTATACAGCACAGTACCTTAACCTCCTAAATCTGTATAACAACCTGTCTAGCCTTAAAGGCAAGTACAAAAACTAATGTGAACAGCCATGATTTTATCTCTTACATCCTCCTTCCAAATGTGTTTGAGCAAAAATTATTTTCAAACTTTTCCCCTTATATTTCAAATATCATTGTCATGCATAGCAGTGGATAGACCAAAGTGAAGAATCCAATAAGGCCAATTCAATATATATGTTCATGAATGTTGTCTAGATTTTTTTTGGTGATTTAGCTCCAAGTGTCCATGTGATGTCAAAGAGTACCTTCTCCTTCAGTCATTATTACTAAAACTAGCAATGCTTTTTGGAAAAAAATGATGATGGTAATGCTTTGAAGAGAGAACAAACACATGGTTTTTTCACAATGGAGCTCATAGTCTAGCCTGAGAAGAGTGTCCTTGTGGTCTAGGGGACAGAACACAAAGAGAAAACAGGCATCCAAGCAATCTTATCAGATAAGTACATAAATCCAAATTATGCTCCCCCTTTCCTATCTCTAGGGAGCATATGGGGATCTTTATTCCCTTCTTTTAGCCAAAGCTGTGTTTGAAAGAGAAGTCTGCTGAAAAGACAAAGGTGAGAAGTGAGTTTTGAAGAAGAATTAGAAGAAAGAAGAAATGCAAAAAGAAGATATTTGCAAGAATAGGACAGGTGGCACAGTATGTTGAGAAGTCCCCTAGGAGGACAACAAAATTATCGAGGGAATATTGGGCTATAAGCTTAATATGAGATGGTGAAGCAGGTGAGATAATCATGGAAGTATTCAGTGAAGAAGAACTTGTCCATGAAGCTAGAGGAAGGACTCAAGCTTGGAAAGTGGAGCTGTGGGCTGTGAAGGTAAGCCATCCAGCTGGAAGAGAGACCACAGGAAGCATCCTCTCCCACAAACAGGGGGCATCTCGACTATAAAACACTGCTGCAGCTGCTACTTCTGTAGGCGTGGATCCCTATGTACACAAAATATTTGTCTAGTGGCTGCAGTTACCCCTCTAGCAGTAGGGGTTTCATCCTCTCAGCACTGCAGCCCAGGAAGCCTTAGGCTGTCATTCATATTTAAGACAGTGACCTGAGTAACCTGGGTAATCTGAGGTTTGCGTAGACACTGTGCTAACAGCAACTGGAGTTGTACCACTACATTGTATTTTCAGCACTTCATAAGTCAGCTGGGGGATTTTGAATTATTTGCCACCTACAGACAAAGCTTAAGTCTTACTGCCATTGGCAACCCACCATTACCTTCAGTAACAAAAGGTATTCACCTCTGGGATCCAGACTCTCAGTCTGCTGTCTTTCGGCTGCCCTAAAAGAAAAGATGTTTTAATATTAAATTCTATGGCTATTTAAACATCCTTCATAAGTAATTTAAATTCTTGGGGAGAAATGCAGAGTAATAAAAGTCTCTATGAAAATTGTCATTTCTAATTTTTTTTGTGTTTCTTACCTTGCTTTTCTTATAAAATTCTCTCTTTCCTCATGAAACGTAAAACTGCTGCATAGTTTTTCTGTAAATGTATTACATTATCAACCAGAGTCTCTTAAGGTGATTTAATTTTCACTCTACTTTTGATCACTGCATAGTTGGTAATAAAATATTCTGTAGACTTATTTGAAGAAAGCTGCTTTATAAATGCAAGTATCCATAAGGCATATTTAATTTTGCATTGTCTGCAACGATGGAACATTTTTAATTTCATTGTATTTGGAAAAATTGCTACTATAGACCCTTGGGAGTCTTTCTTATTTCTTAAGAGTGCATTAATATTTCTACTGACAGTACTGATGACTAACAGACACATATGTGTGTGCATGTATGCTTTTGTACAGGTAACAAGTTCTGGGTTTTCAAGGACACTACTCTCCAGCCAGGTTATCCTCATGATTTGATAACACTTGGAAGTGGAATTCCTTCCCATGGCATTGATTCAGCAATTTGGTGGGAAGATGTTGGAAAAACCTACTTCTTCAAAGGAGATAGGTTGGTACAGGATTTCTGCAAGGGAACAATTCAATGGACACCAGCTAAACATGTTAACCTTTTCCTCTGTTTCTGAAAAAGATGAAATTTACTCCTCCTGCATGGATGGCTGTACTGTTTTCACATGTCTTATAACCTAAATTATATTTTTATGAGTATCTTGGAGTGGGTATAAGTATATCCAGTAGAAAAGTTCTGTTCTAGAAGTCAACAAGCAAGTCACAGTTGTGGTAAATTTAAACTTAAATATTCAAAGTGATTTGTTTATGTACACTCTTACATCTTTCTTTTTATTCACATTTCTAAACCCAAAACATAAGCAGGCTAGGCATGGTCCAAAGCTTTTAAGGTCAGTGAAAATGACTTTGCTGCTATTTGATAATGAGGTAAAAAAGGGAACTCAGAGCTGAACCTGGGAGCTAGAGAAGAATTTGAGCATTTTCTTGGAATTACTTCTAAATAAATCTTATAAATCTTCTAAATAAATCTCATAAATATATAGGGACACATATAATAATAATATTAATAATAGTAATAGTAATAGTAATAGTAATAGTAATAGTAATAATAATAATAATAATAATAATAATAATAATAATTTCTTCATCATCATCATCATCATCATCATCACAACCTCCCAACAAAAAGAAAAGCACAGAAAAAACCCATTAAATCCAAGGGTTTTTCCATTCCTGAAATACTTGTACTAGTCACTTAGTTTCTGTATCTTTATTTACCTGTAAATTAAAAAAAAAGGAAAGGAATGTTTGCCTGCTTTACAGAGACGTTAGGAGAATTCATTAACTTTTGAAACACTGCAAGTTGTCTGAACGATGGATTTTACAGGTTTTCAGTATAGTACTGTTTTTGTTGATTGATGTATTGCTGGGGAAATTTTGTGTGCTCAGAGACAAATCATTCCTTATTAATAACTGTAATATTTCTATTAGTCTTATTAAAACCATGACTGCTTTTGTTACTGTGTGGTACTTAGTGTTCTCAGACACTAAGAGTATTCATGGATCACTTAAGAAATTAATTTAATGCACATCATAGAATATGTTTAGGACAGTACAGTTTGTAAATTTTTAGCAGTACTGTAAAAACCGCACTACAGAATGCTGCAACAAATTTTATGCTTAAAGCTATTTTTATTATTTAAAAAAATATAGCTCTCCATCACTAATGGTGAGTGAAGTAGATAACTAAGTTAAATTTTTGTAATGTTTTAAAAATAGGTATCATTTCAAGCAATCAATTTTCATAGTGAGTAGAAGATGCCTAAATAATTTGCTTCCTATGGTTCTTTAAAAATTCTTTAAAAATTCAAATTCTTTTTCAGGTAATAATTTTCCACCTCCACATACACATTATTAAAAAATGTACAGTAGGAATTTTTTATGACTTTTACTTCCTTTAGGCTTTATTCAGCAATGTCCTTTTATAGTACCATGCATAGGCAGTTACTTATATTCAGGACTTTCCTAAAACACAATTGGTAATAATAGAAGACAAAAAGAACTAGCAGAGAAAACAGGAGCTGGCAGAAAAGTTGCTACTTTGAGCTAACAAGCACAATGAAACTCAGCAGGATATAAATGCAATAGAGTGTGTTAGAAGAAGATTGAACATAAGCCTTGCAGAGATAATTGAGCCATTACAGGATATTGACCATCAGTGGGAATAAACCCTTACAACAGTAAGTTTCTCTATGTGCATTGCTTATGAGATCAAATATTGGCTATAAAATAAAAACAGTGATAAACTGACCAAGCAAAAAAGTAAACAAACAAGGAAATCCCATTAACTAAACCAGTATGAAGATTTAAAAGTTGAACCAGTAAACAGTCATATGTCTAAAGCAGGTCATGTATGAAACGTTGTTGTAATTTGACATTATCTGTTTCAACACTCATGATAATTCTTCTAAATAATTGCATGAAACACACAAAGGAGAAAAAAATTGACTACAGAAAACATTAGTCCCTCTGTTATTCCTATCCTACCAGAACTGAGTCATTTGGAACTAGAAAATAATAGGTTTGATGAACTTCTTGACAAATGTCCTCGTTTATGCCCCTGTCTGGTCCAACTTTTCATGCACTTTGGAGTTTAAATCAATGTTTTTTTCTTCATAAAGCTTAATCGTTCAATGGCTTGGGATAGCATTAGGTAAATAGGCTTAGATATAGACCATAGTTTAGCAAATATTTTTCAACATCCCTTTTTCTAAAGCTATGAAGTGGACTTAGATTTTTTTTTTCCCTCTGTTATTTATCAGTCTTTGAGATACAACAACAAGTTTATATAGGCTGTAGAGCTCAAACCCTCATTAGGGAGTTTGCTTGTGAACATTTGGCATGCCAAATAGAATCAGGACCAGGCTTTTCCTTACCCTGTAGACATGTTCACTACTCCAGCACAGATTGTTGAGGTGAGGTCATGATCAGTCCTTCCCTAGTAGGATGCCTAATCATTCTCATCAATGGTGAAAATGCAGAAGTTCTGTGATTTCAGAGTGTGCACTGAGTATGTCCTCAAAGACTTTTAATGACAGAGGACATCTTTGAAAGTCATTTAGGGCTAGTGGGAAACCAGAGGTTATTAAAAGAAGGAGCTCAAAAAGTTGAAAGGATTGGAAGAGAAAAAGGAAAAGGAGAGAAATTATGGAGGCCACAAATAGAGTTCTGAAATAGAGGGAGAGAAAAAGAAGGTATATTTCTTTAAAAATGCAAACTAAAGACAAAGAAACTTAGAGTTTAATGATGAGGAAGAACTGGTTTCAACAGTATTAAAGTTAGAGATTTGTTTACTACTTCTACATGTTGTTTCTGCATGTAAACTTTCAAAGATGTTTTGTATCCAAATAAAGAGCATTGTGTTCTTGGCTGGTAGCTAATGTATATGTGACTAGATTAAGAATTGAGGCTATAAAAATAATTTAAGCATAAGAAAGAAAAAATAAATACAAATGTCTTTTTAATATAACTTGCCAACACCTAACCCACTGGAAATCTGCCATCTTTTAATTTCATCGAAAGTTTAAAGCCCTACAGGGAGAAATACTGAGGAGTTTAGACCACCACACTTTTCTAAAAAGATGAAAATGTGAATCAATTAGAGTGCCTAAGTACCTCCACATCGAAAAAATATCATCCACATAAGAATTGTTTAATATATGATGACTGTAACAAGGATTTCTAAAAACTAAATTCAAATGAGAAACAGGATCAAGTTTTTAGCAGTAACCAGATTACCAATGATAGTGATAAATCTATGCTCTAAATTGATGGAGTAAATCAAAATATGAAATGACCCAACAAAATGTTAGGATACGCAGAGGACATTAGAGATGCTGTACTCTTAGAACCAACTTGTATGCATAGCAATTTGATAAGCAATTTGATCAGCAGTAAAAGGAAAAAGAAATTATCAATATAATCCCAAAGTTCAAATAAATCACAAGTGTAAATACTTGTAAGATGTTCAGAATTACTAGAATTGCACGCTGAAGCTTTTTAAGTTTGAGAAAGGCTGGCTGGCAAAAAGGCACACAAACAGGTTGAATTTTATAATACACTGCATCTATTTAGTGATAACTAAATAAAATTAAAAGCTTCTGTAATGCATACATATGAAGAGGTAAATTAAGATTGCTGGCAGTATTTTAATTTGAATCTACTGTCACTTGCATTATTACAATATTATGAAAAGCATTAATGTACATTGGTTTTTTGCATGTGCTGCATCTCTCTGTGTCACTGTGAAAAAGCCCTAGGCATCAGAATTGTAGTGATTATAAGTAAGATGCATGCTGGTTTAGTTGTTGAAGTGCAAAAATATTTTATCTTCTATCTATTTATATGAAACAGCAAATAGATTTATTTGTAATGAATGTTCAAAGGGAAGAAATCCAGTATTTCCACTTGTGGTTAATGAATGTAGCAAGTGTTAGAGGGGGGAAATATAAAGTTACTCATCTGCCATCTTACAAATGTGGGTTTTTGTCCTTTAAAAAATATTTCAGGTACTGGAGGTACAGTGAAGAAATGAGATCCATGGACCCTGGTTATCCCAAACCAATCACAATTTGGAAAGGTATCCCAGAATCTCCTCAGGGAGCCTTTGTTCACAAAGAAAATGGTATGCAAACATGTTCTTGTTTTAATGATTTATTTACATCCTTTATGTAAGATGGAGCAGGTGTTTATAGTAGTATGTAAAATAGAGGGATGATTGACTGTTCAGCTTAAGTGCTGCAGGAATTCTTGATATCTGAACAGAGCATTTCCTGCTATGGAACTGGCTTTAGTGAAAATGCTCTTTTAAGTGTTTAACTGCTCTTTTAACTGTTTAGTCTAGGGCTGAAAAAACTTTCAAATTTAGTATTATATACCCTAATTTCCATTCTTTTTTCTTTTGTCTTAATTCATTTTGGTTTTGTTCTCTTCTGAATTATAGTATCTCTTAAAACAAGCTTCATAAACACATTAAATATCTATTGAATTTTTAAGGTGTTAGCTTTTTAAACAGCTTAGAAGGTATTGCTTTCATTCTCAAATCTAGCAAAGGGAAGAAAAATCTTTATCTAAGCAGAAATATGCCAATGAATTTATGTAAATCAAAGATGTCGTAAGTCCATGATGTAGAAAAGCATATAACAGGGATTTTAGTATGATGTATTACATTTATCAAGATGCATCATCACATACCTAGAGTCTGGAACCTCAGCTGGATACACCAGAAAACAAGTGAGAGCAGCCAAAATCTGCTTCATCTCAGGACAATTCAGTGCTACCCAGGGGATGGTGGCTGGCTGCCAACAGAGCCCTCAGTTGCACAGAGGGTTTAGATCCTTTGATGGGAATAAAAATATGCATTTGTTGTATCCTATCATTGTTGGACAATTGTTATCTGGCATATATGATTTATTTATTAGTAGGTTCTGAATTAATTCTGTTTACCTCGTAAGACAGTACACATATCTATTGCCATAATATAATTGCCTTTTAATAAGAAAATAAAAATCTTTCTTTCCTTTTATAAAACATCTTAGTCTCCTATCTCAACCTCTAACTTGATTAAGTAATTTGCCATGGAAATGTTTGGGGTTTTTTTCAAAAATATGTTTAATTGCTTCCTTGCTTTGTGTCTGTTGCACCCAGAAGAAGAAACTCTGTCTGTATTTTGGCCTTTTTTTGCTAGATTGGATTTTCTGTGTTGCTTTTAACTGGAAAGTAGGTCATTCAAGATGATATTGTGCATACATCACACTCAATAATTAACTGTTTTTAAATAGCCATATATGTGGAAATTGTCACAAATGTTATAGAAATATATACGTGTATATATCTATATCTGTGTGTGTATCTACCATCTATCTATATCTGTGCATAAATATACATTTATACACATATGAATATAAATATATATTGATATATATAAATATATATTCTGTACTGGGCTGAGGTACATGTGCCTCCCATTAAAAATAAAAATTATCTTACTTTAACACTCAGACCAGTGAGTTTGAAAGCACTGCAGAGGCAGAGCACCCATTCCTAAGGCATGAAAGAGTTTTGATTACATAAAAGGCTCTTCTCTTTCTAACCTTACTGGTTTTGATAGTCTGCTGGACGCTTTGGATAAGAAGGTTAGTAAAACATGACATGAGATTGTGGAGGAGGTGAAAGGAAAGAGGGAATTCTTGAGCATCTCAGAAGTCCTAAAGGCCCCAGGGCAGAAAAAGGGACTGAAAAATGACACCATCAATTTTCCAAGAAGACCACTAAGATATTTTCCCTGAAATCAAGAAAATAAAGACTTAAGAAACAATTCACAACTTTGCTGTTGTTTCTATGAGGAGAGAAAGAAATAAAAGCAGATTCAAATAAGAAATATCACAGCTCAGTTGGAAAGAAATTGATTCCATTTTTCCTGAAACTGCTTTTGTTTCTCTGGACAGCAGCAGAGTTGATAAAAAGCTTTTATTATAAACCTTCACAAGGAAACATCTGAGAGCATGTCTTTCAGGGAATAAATTTCATTTTAAAGTATATATTTTTTCTTCTTTTACATTTTTGCTGTGCAAACTATGCAAATGAACACCTACAACAACTCTGATCATGCAGGGGATTCCTTCAGTGATGGCAAACATTCTTGGTAACTGTGCATTAAGTTTTGGAAAGGACGACAAAAACCAATTTCCTACTCTAGTCAGTGTCCCAGCTCAGTATCCTAAAAGCTTGTTAAGGTCTAGGTACAGGTAGCACCTTTGAAACTTGCCCTGCTACTTCCCATTTTGTGACTTGTTTTCGAACACTCAGGTAGAAACTCTTAGGAAGGGGTGGAAAAGAAATTTCCTTTCTTTTGCTACATGGAATCTGAGATCATACAAAGTTGTCCAAATTGGAGAAATCTTTCTTTCTACCTTGAGAGCAGCACAGGAAATTTAACATGCTGAAGGGGATGATGGGACAATTTTTAGGTAGAAGAAAGAGAAAAGGTAGTCTACTTTATTAGTCCACTGGCCTTTTTTGCCTTGTACTTTACTACATAAGTATGTTTGAGGTAGCAGTGACTGCTACGCCCTTCAGTGCTGTTTGTGTCAGGCATTGCACTCACTGCTCAGTGACTAGTATCTAGAAAATTGTAAGGAACAGCTCTCAAAGCAGGTTTAACACATCTAGCAGATTAGATTAAATCACTTTCTACAGTTGTGTGAAGTCATTTGCTCTGTCAGGAGAAGCAGTAAAACTACTCAGTCTCTTAGAATTGTCCTTCTCTGCTGGTAGCTTCCACTTTTCAGCTGTAACTGACTATTATCCTGGTTCCTACCTCAGCAAAAATGGCAGAAAATTTTAAACTTTTGAACTTTTTAAAAAGTTTAAACAGACTTTCCCAGTGAAAAATGGGCTCTATTTTAAAAAAAATGGTATTGGATCTCTAGCAGCTGGCAATTCCTTTGCTGCTCTAAGAGTTTTAATTTGGCCTTTTGCTGCATAATATCAATTACTGCTAACTAAAATTTGTATTTTGACTTACCTCTACCCCTGAGTATATATACATGTATTCTGCATATATATATATGAATATAGATTTAGAGGTGTCACATCTGTATATGGTCTCTATATATGTGTTAGACTATTGATAGAGATAATACATTAAATTTCCATACTTGAAATATTTATCCATGGCTAGGATGTGCAGTACTTTCTGAAAGGCATATTGTTATATGGAATGAAAAGATAGGGTAACTGTGGTTCAAAATACTGAAATTTTGCATTTGATAATGCTCCTAATTTAAACTCCAGATTACTTTAAGGAACTTTATACGTGCTAAAATTTTAAAACTTGATCATATTTAAGAATTGCAGTCATCTTTTAGGTTTTATTCCAATCAGAATGGAAGGCATTTTCTGAAAAGGTCTAGCTACTCCTTTGATATAGATTAGTACTTTTTGTATTTTTTTTTCAAGTTGTAATAGCTCTTTCTATGAATCTATGAGCATATTTTCAGGTAATAAAAATGCAAGGGATTAAGGAAAGGAAAATACTTTTTCATTGGCTAGGCAGGCTATTAAAATTACAAATTATCTAATGTAGAAGAATGATGAAATACTCACATTTTTCTGAAAAGGGGAAGTAGGTGATGAAGACTTCCTACAGTGTGGGCTGCAAAATAGACTACCAAATATTTCTTTTTTTAAATTTTAAAATTGAAATAAAATAACTGTTGGTTGAATAGGTGGTTAATAATGTTGTCTCCAGACAGGCAGTTACCAGCCTTTTCAGGAAGCATTGTTAACTACAAATAGTGCCCAATTAGGCTTAGTAGCTTTTAATACTTCATGGAATATATGAGATATATAAAGCAAAGATAAGAAAAAAATCCATCTATTTCCATTTGGTTCATAAACAGTAGGTGAAACTTTGCCCATCCTGAAGGTTTGTGTCTTGCCAGATCAATGGCATTTTTCAGCTGGGATAATAAAGTAATATAGATTTTTGGCAAGAGTCAAGCTTTTTCTTCATTTAAGCATGTGTAATAATAAACACTGGATTGTGCCTGAATGAACAAATATCAGGTCTTTACAGAAAACTTAAATCTGGTTATACCTTTTTCTAATGTAAAAGATGCTGTTATTTCATCCAGTCTCCTGAAGTACAGCAATAGGCTGTGTGAGATTGAAGAGGGCCAGTTCTCATTTCTGCATAGCATAGCAGAGCAGAGCATTGCAGTTTGTTTCAGGAGACTTCCCATCTCAAAGAGGTTGTGATGCTTTAAAGTCCTATCCCTGAAGATCCCAACTCTAGCTGGTTTTCCAGTAAATGAACAAACTGCCCAAACCTTGACTTTTTGACCAGATTGTACTCTCTGGAATGATTTGATTATTTTTTTAGCAATGAAAGAAAATAGAATCCCAATTTTCTGAATGGAAGAACAACGAAAGAACAAACAAACAAACAAAACAAAATCCCCAAACTCAACATTAGATTTCTAGAGACAGTAAAAAACCAAATTTTTTTAAAAAGATTTGAATGAGTTCTAACTGAAGTCTATTCCTTGTGTCTTTTGATTTTTTTTAATTACAAAAAAAATTGATACCAGTAATTTCCATAATGGTATATTGATGACATGATTTCATATGCCCATGAATAATTGCTATTTTCTTCCTCAGGCTTCACATATTTCTACAAAGGAAAAGAGTACTGGAAATTCAATAACCAGATGCTCAGGGTGGAACCTGGCTATCCCAGATCCATCCTCAAGGATTTTATGGGTTGTGATGGACCAACAGACCGAGATAAAGACCGACACAGCCCTCAAGATGATGTTGACATTGTCATCAAACTGGACAACACAGCCAGCACTGTGAAAGCCATAGCCATCGTCATTCCCTGCATCCTGGCCTTGTGCCTCCTTGTCTTGGTTTACACTGTGTTCCAGTTCAAAAGGAAAGGAACACCCCGGCACATACTGTACTGCAAACGCTCTATGCAAGAGTGGGTGTGATGTAGGGTTTTGGTTTTTTCTTTCCCTCCCAGGAGTTTGTGGTAACTTGAGATTCAACACAAGAGCTGTTATGCAGTTTCCTAGCTAGGAGCGGCATCTGTCAGTCGGAAGCAAAGCTGATCTTTCAAACCCAGGGGGTTGCCTGTCCTGCCATGAGTGGCGATTCGCTCAGCTGGGAAGCTTCCATGATACACGGTATCTGCTGTTTCTTCAGTCCTTTGTCTTTCTTTGTCATTCAATTCTAGGCCTTCCCTCTGCACGCTCAATGCCCTATAAACTATCAGGATTAACTAACAAAGAGGAATAAAAATATCTCCGATGTTTCTACATTTTTTCCTTAAGGCCTGTTCCCCTTCAAAGAATTTTTTGCTGAAAGTAAATTTTTTTAGAGAAACACAACAACCAACAATGGAACTTTCAGAAAAGTGAGAAGACCCAAAACAGCTTTGTCTCCAAAGAGGATTGCTTTCTGTCTGCTACGGATAAAGTCCTATACTCCTACTTCCAGTTTTGTCAGGTGGGAGACTTGGATGACACGCAGGACTTCAGACTGTTCGGACAGCCATTTTCCAACAAACAAGGGGCCAAAATATCTGCAATATAGTAACAGCCTTAATACATTCATTTTGTGTTTTATACAGCTGCTCTGGGCTATGTCCTCAATGTTTTAAACTCATATTCAATACTATATTCAAGCAGAACCTTTTTATTGGTTGGTTTGATTTCTGGTTGGTTTTCCTACATTATCTTTCCCAAGTTGTACCAAGCCAACTACCCCAGGCCTTTTATAGGTCTGTCAGGAGCACTCATTCCAAAGAATGGTAAAAAGCAGTGTGTCTCTGAAGTGGATTTCAATGAACTAAAACAACAGACAGACTATTGAGAGACTTGACACTGGTACTATGTTGGTGGTGTAACCCTTTGAGAACTATTGCGTCCAGTTTTCAGAGTCTGGTGGATGTTAAACTCGGTCATCATTAAATTAGAGAATTGTGTTTGGGTAATACAGGTTTCAAAAGAAAATCAGTTTTTTGAAACAGATTTCTTGTGACCGCATTTTTAATTATTTGCATTATTGATAGAAAAGCATTTGTAACATGAATAGAAAACAAAATATATTTACCAGCTACTTTCTTGTTAAAGGAACCAAACGTATTTTAATAATTTCTATCACTTACCAAGAATTTTTCTGAGCTGTCAACAATTTTATAGCTTAGCCTCTTATCTCAAGCATCTTGGATTTCTCTCTTGAGACTGTGTTGCATGACAATTCGATTTGCCTCTGCAGAGGTAGAGTTACAGTTTCAAAAGAAAGCTAAGGAGATGACTCTGATAGTGCATGAGTATCCTCTGGTGTGTTACCCCTTTGCATGTTCATCATAGTTCTCAAAGGGTTAAAATTTCTGGCCTTCAGTCAAACATGGTATCAACTGACAGAGCCAAGGGACCACCAAAACATTTTGTCATTCTGTGTAATTTGTGCTAACAGCAGTATTGTCATTTTCATGTGACCTGCAGAGCAGGTTTGTATCAATAATTTTTTCCTAGAGAAAAGTCAGCAACTGACAGACCTCTTTATTGATTTTAGGAGCTGCTTCTTGCAGTGATAGGCTTTACAGTCACTGGGCTGTGAACTTATTAAAGATGGTCAGAATGATGCACCCCAAAAGTCAGTCACCTGGTTTTTTATGAAAGCCAGGTTTCGAGGGGAGTAGCTTTTGCAACAATGAACAGCTTGCCTTGAACTTGATTATTGACCTGTTGACTGTCATTACCAAGTAAAACATTGTCTTCTGTGAACAGCTTCACTGTCTGAATTTCCTTAAAGTGTACTGTCCTATGTCTTTGACCTTTAACTTGCAAACTGGCACAAACTGAAGGGAATCTGGTGTTGCAAATGAACTTAGATGAGTTTTATTTCTTGAAAGGCCTGATAGACATGATCCAAAATTTGAGAAAAAAAATTGAAGTGTTTTAGTAGGAGAGAAATGACATAGACTAAAATATTTATGATAGGTCTGTAGAAAGATATTTTGCTATGTATACATGCACACTCTAAAAATGAATTACAGCAGAAGTTAATTTTTATTTAACTTGAATACAATTTTGAGTATAAAATTATTATTTCTACAAATATCTAGTTATTAATGAAAAGGTTATAGGAAAGTATTAAAATACTTGAAATGGCCAGTATGGGCTTTTACATTAAATGAGACTTTTATACTACGTTCAACCAATTTCTTACTGGTTTCTTAATCCACATAACTGGATCACTTTTTAGAGAGTGTAGGTATATATGCATATATATTATGGTTATTATTGTTTTGGTAATGGATAGCTTGACTGCCTTGAATTTATATTTATATTGAGCATAGCATGAAAAATAGTATGCTTTTTTTCAATTACATGATTTTATATTGATTTGAGGACTTATGAACATATGTGGCATGCTATAAAGCATTGCAAACTTATTTCTTAGAGCATAAACAGATATACATATGTATGGTTAACAAAAACGAAGATTAGAAAAAGATATAGTTTTACAACAAATATGCAATGCAGATGGCATTTTGGAGATGTTTTGTAGAAGTACTGCATACTGTAGGTTAGAAGCACACCAGTATCAGCCCATAGCATTATTTAGTAAATCCAAGTCAGCTGTTGCTGAAAATATAGATTTATTGACAATTTAGTTGCACAGGATTTTTGCTGCGGATCAGCTCATTTGGTGAATTTGAAATTCTATGCTGTTTGTCATATGTATTAAGATGTGTGTTTGTATACGTATAAAAGCACACAAACACACACATACATAGACATGCACATTTTAATCCATTGAGAAATTTTTATTGTCAACAAACTACTATAATTTATGTTCTGCTATAGAAAGAACAAAATTATTGATGTTGCTGTTACAAGTTTTTTTCCCTTGGATAGCTGGAGGAAAATAATAAGAGAACTACTTATTCTGTATTTGCTTTTCTTCTACTGTAGAAGAATTTTTTTTTTTTTTTTTAAAGTCAGAACAGCATCTCATCAGTCTTTTTCTTCACTTGAAAATTTCATTTCAGTTTTGAAATATCTTTCATGGCAGCTTTAACTTTTTCTGCAACCATTTCCCTGTCAGTAATGAAGTGCTGAGCATGTTGACTGTTGTTCTTTGATAAGGTAACAAAAATATTTGTGTTTGGAGAATTTAACTGTAATTATGCAGGAAGGTAAGTGTGATAATTCTAGTGCTTGGTATATTGTACATGGTAGTTACATGAATACATGATAAGTTGATCATTGAATCTATTTTCTTTTACTTAAAAGTACATATATGCTATATACAGAGAGTGGAGAAAAAAAATTATATTGGCATGTTTATGTCATGCAAAACAAGATTGTGTCAACATTTCTGTTACATACTCATGTTTTCAGTAGGTTGCAATGCAGTCATAAAGGTTCGCTTTAAGTAAAAGATGTAGGAGCATTTGTGTTCACTGTAATTTCCAAATACATATTGGCTAGTTTCAAATTATAGAATTTCAGAGTGAATTAGTGATGTTGCCTGGTCTACTTTTGAACTCAAATTAGTAAAAGTTCTAAGACATTTTTTTTTAATAGTTATTTCTCTACAAGGGCCTATAACTATTAGAATTAAGAAAAATCAAATTAAAAATATTTTCAGGTCTGCAATCTGGGTTCCTGCTCATGTGCCGTGACATTTTTAATAAACATTTCCATATTGCTATTGTCATGATCTGTATTTTGGAACAATACAAAACTGAATATTGTTGTGTTAATCAGCTACAGTCTATCAAGCTGACTACACAAGGTCATGTATCTTCAGAGTACTATGGTCTGTATGATGCAGAAGGCCAGAGTAGATTATGGTAGTGTTTCCTTTGGCCTTTCAATATCTAAACCTATGAAAAGGTTATTGACTGTAGAAAAAATTAATTTTTATCAAAAAAATTAAAAATATGTAACTGTATATTTACTGAATAGGCTGGGATGGAGAGACTCAAATGGCTCCAAAGGAGCCCTTTCAAGTCTCCAGAATAAATGTAATACATATTTTATATATTCCTATGACCTTTTGTTCTTTTTCTTCTTTCAAAGTGGGAAAAGGGAGGGGATAATTAAAGAAAAAGATTTTTTAAGGCTAATTTTGTGAATTAAAATAACATAAGCTAATAGATCCAAACATAAGGGACAGACTTACACTTTTTCTTAGAAGCACACTTCACATCCCCAGTTGCTTGATCAACACTCCTGTGCCATTAGCACTGTGGGTTAAGAACGGAGTGTAAGGCTTAATTTTTGAATTTTCAACTCTTTTGGGGGGGTCTTACTTTACAATCTAAATGTCAGTTAAATGTAGCTTTTGGTACCAAATTACATAGAATCTAATTCTAGCTTGTTGGTTAGAAAACAGTGCGTAGTCTAGGAAGTTGGTCTGCCTATTAGCAATGGAAGTACTACGTTCCTATTCTTTTCTTTTTTTTTTTTTTTTTTTTTTTGCATTTGAACCATTGTTAAGACAAATCTTAAAACACACACATAGTAAACTGAATAGTGAATGTTCCAGGCGCTGTATTTTTAGGGAAGTAGAAATGCAAGCTACCATACCATTAGCAGCCTACTTTGGACAAAACATGAGATGACTGGGTGGAGGAGCAAGGATATGACTGCAGGGGCCTGCTCTGTCCTGGCTCCCATCTCTCCTTACAACATGGCCTAAGTTTCACCACCTATTGCAGAGGTGAAGGAAGCCATGCACCACAGCAGTGGGAGATGTGAAGTAGCCATAACAGAACAGTAGCTCCTGGTTTGCCTTTTGTTGTTATCAAGACTGTCTCTGGACACCTCTGTTTCCAGAAGTATAAATAGATGACTGCAAGTCTATGAGTTATTACAATCAGCTGAGGAAACAAATGCCACTGGCCACTTAGGTGTCCAGCTATGCTGTAAATCAAATAATATTGTCTGGAAGCTGAGGAACAGATAACCTGTTATTCAATACAATGATATACTTGTGATATTCCAGCAGTGTAATGTTAGGCATACTTCCTGAGCTGCCACTTCACAGACTGCAGGCAAACAGAGTGGTTCTCATGAGATAAGACCATTTAAACATATGTCAGTTACAAAATCGGGTGTAAACAAACCATGTGCTCATAAAATTAATCTCTGATATATGCATGTCATTAAATGAATTGTCTGCTGCTAGTCTCATGAAAAATATGTAATGTGTGAGTCAAACCTGTCTAACCCATTCTTGTGGCTTGCCATCTGAGATGTCAGAGGCTGATGGAGAAAGGCATTGTCATCAGTGCCATCGATGCTGAAAATATCTGGTAAACATCAAAAGCATGCCATCACTTGTTGCAAACTGGCTCCATTTGAAGCTTGATCTAAGGTAGCCTCTAATGTTAGGCAGTATAGATTTTTTTATGATATGGAATTATTCTATATATGTATGTATATAAGTAGGAATGCCCAATAATAATCAGAAGATGAAATTTTGAAGGATCATCAGTGTGTGAGCACAGCAAGCATCTGTTCCTAAAATCAAAATGTATTTTAAGGAAGGATGTAGACATCGTTAAACACATGAATTATTATCAGGTCTTCTTTCCCAGTATACATGAGTTTTAGGATATCATCTAAAGATTATGGTCAGTTAATTAACATTTGGAATTGCAGCTGCCCATTCTGTCTTTGAAAGAGGACATTCTGTGAGTGGTGTCCATAAAATATGTTGGCTTTGTGGAGATGGTTTTAAGTATTGCTCTGGTCTACCAAGAGTTAGATGACATAAATTTTATTTGCAGTGAAGACATAAATGAAGGAAGGCTGATGTAAACTAACATGCTAAGACAGTTTTCTGTACTTGGATGCGTATGAAGCATAGTGCCATTTGCTGTCACAATAATACTTCATAAACAATAATAATTACACAGGCCAGCCACTTGTGATGGCATGAAGTTTTGCAGTGACATAGCTTAGTTTCTTCGGCTTCTGTAGAGCACCATGGTCCACAGATTATTGTTAGTATACCCACTACACAACCAAGGTTTTCTGTTTAGTTAATAGTAATTTCTACCATATGAAATTGAATTATGTCCTTTTTATAACTACAACCTTAATCTTCTTGGAGCGGCATATCTTAATTCATAGTCTTTCATGACTTTTTTTTCCCTTTCATTCTTGCAGTAAAATATATGCTGAATATTGTCTCCATCCTCATGAATAATCCTGTTCATTCTGTGTCATGCATGTGTCTTGGATAACCCATTTACTAATCTATTATTCCAGGAACTGGGTTTCTGGGAACTGGGATTAGTAACAGAATGCTGGCATAAAATAAATTCCTAAAGTACCCACTTAGTCCTTAACAATATGACAATGGAGTTTGAAGGGTTTTAATGAGGTTTTGTGTTACTTACATACTGGTAACAGAACAGTATAACTCTGCCAATCAGTGAATGTCCATATGGGTTCACCACTTGAAGGGTTCTGTGATGAGTTATAAAATAAGGTTTCCAATTCATATTTCCATCCTGATGTGTTGGTATTTAACACCCAGTTTACATACACATTTATATCTTACATGGCTGTGCATAAATTCATCTGCCTTGTTGAAGCCAAGAATACTTAGTATCAGCAGGTAATCTGTGTTAATAAGGTATACAATTTTGGTTCTCTTACTATCATTTTGAAACCTTAAAGAAGAGAAAATAGGTTTGACCACAGTATCACTTTTTCCATCACTTTCCAAAATGATGGTTTCTAATACTCTTTGTCAGTGTTTAAAATTAGATTATATTAAATAGGTCTCAAAAGTACTGGTTTACAACTGATATGTTGCAGGTAAATGCACAGCCTCATATTTGAGCATACAATGATTCTAAGGAGAGAAGGACATACTACGTGTGCTTTGCTTGACCAGTGCCACGAAATTGCCAGTACTCACATACTGGTCACCTTCATATCTTATGGGAACATTGTGAAGTCAACTCAAGCAGTTTGTCTGCTTGGATATAAAAGTAGAATTATGTAGTTTAAGAAATGATACATGTGATGACGCATTCAGGAGACATCATAGCAACCTAGAGCACTGTTTTAAATGACCATGACAACTACAATTCATACCTGCAAGGCATAGCTGCAGCTTATAGGTACATGGTTGTGTTTTACCTCATATGATAAAATGCCATGAATTCTGGCTATGCATCACCAGGCAGACGAAAACAATCAAAAAGACCTTTCAGAATAGCCATTGTCAATACTCACAGCTTATGGAAATAACTGGATTGTTATACTCAACAAAATTTAGTCTTGAATAGGAATCGAGAATTGGAGGAATGTGTGATGATAAAAATACTCTATTACCAACTCTTACTCTTCGTAATCAAATAGGTAAAGCATTGTCAAATCACAGTATTGTCTTACTGTGTCTGGTTGAAAATCATTCTACAGGATAGATCCATGTTCATGATCCTCCCTTTTCACCATCCAACAGACGCTACCTCTTTCAGAGGAAGATGTACTGATAGTAGTGCTGGGATCACAGTGGTGACAAATACAGTTTTAAATTAACTCCCTGCTGAAGTCTTTCTCAGAGGAAACTTAAATTAGTCATGAACTTCCTTTCCTCAACTTCTAGGACCCACAGGAAAACCAACTAGGTCTTTTGGTCAATGCCTACAGACAGACACAAGTAGCATAAGAACATTTCCATTTTTGATTACCAAAAGAAAAATAGGAAAAGGAATGAAAACATTTTCACTTATAGGTGCAAGTACAACACCAATTTATCAAAAGAGATGGGGACAAGGATCACTTAAAATTTCATGTAATCAACAATAAAAGAGAAGAGATATTACCAAGAACTTAGTGATAGCTTGGAAAGTATTATTGGCCTCCGACAACAAAGATATCTGTTAGGCTTTAGAAAGTCCACTGAATTCTGTAATTGGATTCATAACCCACCAGATAGCAGTCAGTCAAAAAGCTTCTCAATATAGTTGCTCTAACCCTGACTGCAAATATATATAGTAATACATAGTACATTATTTATCTGGTGCAATCAAAATCTTTTGAGATAGATTTAGTCAAACTAATATTAACCTGAATCTCTGTGCAAAAACTGGTCATAGTGAAATGTCCTTCTGTTTCTTCTCAAAATTTAGATCCAAGATGGTTTGAAGAACTCCACTGGATAAAATACTGAAGGATAAGGAAGTCTTTAACTTCTACTAGTCTATATTACAGCCATGTATCTTTATTTCCATTATAGTCCTGAAGTATTTGATATGACAGAAATACTTTTATGGCCATTGGATGGATCATCTATTTCTATATGTAAATTGATAAATACAGTCAAACTTCTGATTCCCCTCCATACCCTTTTCTCACTGCACCTTGACATGTTTCCTTACTAATGAAGGCGATATTTAATTTTCTATTCTCTTAGTAGGCAGGTGGGAAATGATCTGTTCATTATAAAAATAAGCAAAACCAATTTTGTTGTCTATCTCATTTAAGCATGTATGACTTTTTGCACTTAGTCAACAGGAATTGCAGCGTTTTGTGTCTACAATGAAGAGGTAGTACCTTCTCAAATCTCCTGCGAATATTTGAGGAGCTTGATGTATATCTTTCACTGAGTCTTGTACATTGTCCAGTACAACAACACTGAGCTCTAACTTACAGCAGATTATTGAAGCCTTTGCCTTCCACTGACCTTGCCATCCTTAAGTCTGTTATGAAAAAGGCATGGTACAGCCAGGGCTGATCATCATGGATTCTTTATTTGCATCTTGGGACTACTTGACTTGTCAGATGTACAATAGTGTAATACCAGAGACCTACCATTTTTTACCATTTTTACCAGACATTGTATGTCTGCTAAAAATACTGTTTCTATGTATGGCTTATGACATCTCTGAAATGTGAGCAGACTAGAAAACAGCATTTCAACAGTATGTGTTATTTTCAGTGTTTCCAGTTCTCATCTTTAACCTGTTCTCTTTCTCCTTTGCATTCTGATGTCTATAATCTGTGTCATAAATATCCAGACAAGGATTTTATGGCTGGACTCCTTCCTCTACCACAAGTCAGTTCATACACATACATCAATTCCATCAATTAACATACTGCTGTAGCATAATAGGCTAGCACTGTTGCATGGCAGAATGCTTTGCTATTATGCACCGTTTTCCAATTGATCCTAATTTTTCGGTATCACATATAAAAAACTCTCTGTCATCTGCTAGTGAAGTCTTGATTCATTGCCCAGTTCAGACACAGCTTGCAGAGAAAGGTGCAGGTGTTTGACTTCTGAGGTTGGCTTTATGTTATAGGTGTTCCTATATGATCAGAAACTGTTTGAGGGATGCAGTGTCTTCTCCTTGCCAGTCCTGTGGTAGTATTGTTAGCAGTTAAAGCATGTGCAGCTAGTTTTGTCAGTCTGTAGTCAACTAGAGTTTGATATGGATATATACAAGAAGGGTACATTGTTTTCCAAGCTTCATACACATCCTTGTTTCTCTTTATTATTAACATGCACCTTGCATTCTTTCCAGGTGCTTTATTCTTGAATCTATCAGAACTTAGTTTCTTCCTCAGTTCTGCTTGTTGAGTGTTATTTTAGCAGCTGATTCCATTTTCTTTTGTTGACATTCCTTCATCCCTGTAATTCCAACAGAAGTTGTTCTGGTTCCAATATGTTAGTTAGAAGCTACTAAAATTCTGGTTCTGCCCACCCAGTGATTTGCTTATTTATCTTCCATGTGTGAGAAAGAGGAAATCAACCTTTCAAGCAGAGACAAGGGTGTTTGTGCAGTTGATAGGATAGCTCTGAAAGTGGTTTTATGCATAGCATGACCCTAAAACTCACATATTGTTAAACATAAATCTTCAAGCTCTTTATCTTCAACCACCCAACAGCTGTTCATTTATTTTTCAAAGTCTGACAAATAAGTCAGAATATGGATGTGATGATTTCTCTTGTGTGAAACAAATTTCTCATTTTTATTCCCTTTTCTCTGCATAGCTCCATTTTCATTTCATGCCCATGTTCCGCTTATTAGGATGTGTGTTAGAATCAAAATAACTGGAGCATTTATTTGCTTTCTGCAACTGAATTTCATTTTATTATTGTTATTTTATTTTATTTTATTGGCTCACACAGCATTCTATACGGTAACCTTTTTATAACTGACATATGTTATTCCTTCAGGTAGCTTCTACTGACAAACACAACGCTTGTTTGTGTGCAAATGCAAGGCTGACTAAATGGTGCTAAAGTGTATTATGACTGTCAGATATAATCAGGCAAAATTTTGTGGTGCTTAGACTGATTTTTTTCATTGATTTTATTGATCAATGCATTGAACAGTGTTTTATTATACACAAGTAGTCTTTTGTTAGTAAATCAAGACCTCATAGTGCATTGTTAAACTGAATGGGTTAATTAATCTATGTAACAGCTCACCAAGCTAATCTCTTTAACTCCTTATAATGTTGTGTCATTAAAGGTCAAGGGGTCATGATAATAATCTCATTGCTGTAGACCATTAACATGACTGAACATTTTCAACAAATA